AATGAATCCGTATGGCAAGCTTCATGAACTGGGATTAACACTCTCAGCGCCGTTACTTCCTCCTTGGCATAGGCGGTTTGTAATAGGAAGGCTTTGCCGCTCTCATGCAGGTATGTTGCAATTAAAAGCGCAGAGTCGGGTTTAATTTGAAATCGGTGGTGCAGGATGCTTTTGAAATGCACAAAATCAATTAAAAGCCTTGCATCTGTGGGTTCACTTTGTGGAGATTCTTCTAAATAGTGGGCAACCTTTATCCACCCTGGCGGAATAACGTGTAACATGAATGGAAATACATGTTTGAGAGTCTTGGTCAATTTTAACACGGCATCGCACAGGTTGGTCGGCTCCAACGTAAACTCAGCTGAACCCACGCACGAGGTGGTTACTATTTCATAATGAATAGTAATTGAAAAAGCTTTATAAATATTGTATAGGTACTCTAGTTGATGCTTAGTTGTTGAGTTAATTCTGGGCATTTCTTCGAGGCGCTGTATTTCGTCAGTGATTTTCCTTAGCCTGTAGTTAACATACATATGAACATCCTTGCGAAGCTGCGCTATCAATCCAGGAATGAGGGGTCGTTCAACTAGATCGCACTTGGTCGCGACAATTATGGCTGTGACGCCGTTAGTACGGGATAACATAAGGTCAACCCACTGACCGACACAAGTGTAAAAGGACGCTGTAGAGGACGTATTGTTTAGGGAATAACTGGTCACTGCATCTTGGTAGCTCTGCAGATTGACGCATATAACTGAAATAAGCGGAGTTGTAGTGCAAAAGGACGCAATTCCTTCGTAATACGCATTTCCAGAAAATTCCCAAGCAAGAATCTTGAACGATACCAGTGGCAGAAACGCCGTGTTCGAATCCTTTGATTCTGTAGTAATATTTGAATATTTCTCCCAACTCTTTCTGGATATTTCATGGGTTATACAGTGAAGTTCTGAAAATACCGTTTTCTCCTGTTCAGAATCGGTCACCCTTCGATATCCACTGGAAAGACTCAGCAGTAGACTTGTTTTTCCGCAACCAACTTCTCCAAAGCAAATAATTTTAGTGCCGAAGAATTCTTCAAGTCCTATATTTAATTCGAAAAAATACTTCGTAATCTCAGTCACACCTCCTTGGGCGACAATTAAAGGCGGTATGAGCAAAGGGTTTTTTTCAAAACATATTTCGAATTTCAAATCCTCTCGCCCTTGAACAGAATGCCAGACGCTGGAAATCCTGGCCATAGTCCGTGCGGAAAGTCTTCGTAAGCGATTGTAACTGATATCCAACGTGACTGCGACTTCCACAAGCTTTTCTGGAAATACAACTAATTTGTTGTATGAGAGATCCAATAAATGAAGGCGCTTTGTCAAGGGTCGATGACGCATTCGGTTAAGCGAGAGCACATTCAGGTTGTTATGGCTTATGTTCAGTATCTCCAAAGAAGGAAGTAGAAGCAACTCTCCAGGAAGTATTTCAAGTTTATTGTAAGATAAATCAATCTCTCTGATGGCAAACAAATTATTAATATCTGACTGCATCAGGGGAGTGCTGATATTATTGTGCGACAAATACAGGTATTCAAGGTGCAAGAAATCACAGGCAACTTCGTTAAATGATCGCAAGTTATTGCCCTCTGCAGCGAGAATCTTCAGTTTCTGCATATTTGCTACTCCGCTTAGTGACTGTAAACTGCTCCTCGATAAAGACAAGAGCTGTAAATTTTTAAGAAACTTGGTCAAATTGCCGGAAAACAGGGCATTTGTGTCGTCGGAGTCAAGAACCAAAATCCGCACATTAGAAAGCCAGGCATCTTTTTCATTCTCTTTCAACGCAAGTCGGCGTTTGACAGGGTGAATAATTAGTTTTTGATCCTTTCCTTGACGTTCTCGAATAAGACGGCGTTCGTTCAATTTCAGCCAGAGGATCACCAATTCATCTTTTAGCAGTTCGTTCAAAGGTAGAGGTAGTCTTCCCTTCAAGTGAAATCCACTGCTTTCACTGAAGTTACTGAAGACGGGGAAACGCTTTAAAATCCTTTCAGCAACGGATATATATTCGACATGCAGAGGTTTTCCATCTTTCATTATGTAGTCCTCTGTATCCGAAACCAACTGGACGTATGGCTTTCCTGACTGTACGCCAATAAAACTGTAGTCGTCATTTGCTCTTGAGATAAATCCGAATTCCATGGTATACAGTTTGTCATCTCAGTGCTATAGTTATACACTTTTTCAGCCAATCCGTTCTGAGGATAATCAAAAAGTGCAAAATCGCTGAGGTTGAATGGTATTGGTTAAAATCCTAAGTGTTTTGCAAAAAATCTTTTGCTGAACGTCAGAAGCGCACACCGACCATTGACTTTAATTGGTGTATATCCCTAATATTTTTGATGTAGGCTTTTGTATTAACAAAAAATACAATAAAGTAGAATTTTGCAGACGGCATAAAATGTGCACAAATCTTAAGATATCTATCATTTATTAGATTTCGACCGTGATATTCGCATGGAACTACAATCTTCGAATGTAGCGTGCGATTTATTGGGATTTAAGTGTATGGGTGATCGAGTGGACGTACTCGTGAGTAGCGCACTAATTACTCAGTTTGTATTTGTAAGACGACAGTGCTCCCCTTAAATTTATCTACTGTATACGGTGGCACGTTCTCGTAAACAAGATTTTGAGCAATTGGACTGCACATGTTTTATTGTGCTGTATTAACTGAACTTTAAAGCGCATGCATTGGCGGCTACACAAAAATAGGACAAGGTTTTTGCACCCATATTATACGATCAAGATATTTTCATCCAATTCAATGAAATACTATGAGTAAAAAATTGGCACCGTACTATCTTTTCTGTCAATTAAATTTTGGGACATTGTATAAAATGTATTTTCACGGCCCAGTTAGGTTTAGTAAATGTTGCAACTTCAAGATTATGTTGAAGGACGAGTCAGCTCTCGGATTTCTAATATTGGATCTGTCTTCTTTATTCTTTCACGGCTTTAACAACGTAATGTTTGTATGGATGGCATACCGTCCCTGATAAACAAAATAAAGTCACGTAATTCCGGTCTTGACATCACAATTTTAAAGGATCTAGTCCTATACTGGCTGGGGTAACACATTTAAAAATTACCAAATATACAGGGTGTCCAAAAAATGTATACACATTTAACCTAATTGTAAAATTGGTGTTTATCATAATTTTACTATTAAATAAATGTAAAGATATTCACAAGTATCATTTTATCGTTTTTTTCACTGAATGTTCTCAAACTGACGTCCATTTAATCATAAAACTGCTGACAACGCGAAGCAATGGAATCGTACGTACCATGAAACAATGCCCTTGGTATTCGGATGCATTCATGTTCAGAGGCTTTTTTTAATTCAGCCACTGTTGCAGTAGTGAGTGACTATTTGAAAAAATGAGCGGATGAACGTGTAGCCAATAAAAATGCAGGAAGAC